ATGGATTTGATGTTATCTAAATACAGTTTTAATTATCAAATACGATCGAGTCTTGTATTTGACTCAACTGTATTTTTATATTAATTGCTAAAGTGCTATATTCTTTAAAAAATAATAATATAGGTTATTAACTAAAAGTAACCTATTTGTTTAAGCTATATAGCAATTTCTCCCATTAAAATACTGCCTCCAAACCGTAAACTCTTCTGCACTCCATGGCGGCGGTTCAGGAGGGGGACGGTCCAACAGTACTAAAGCATCTTCCGCTCCATGCATCCGGTCCAGATCTGTTCCAGGCTCTAGCCCCACGCTTCGTCCATGACCTTCTGATCTCAATCATGAATGACATCCTCGAACCTCTCCACGTTTTGCTAGGGATACACAACTTTTGGCCGCCATATAGGCGTTGCAGTCTGCCAAAGAAAAGAGCCTCACAAAAGCGGGACGAACGCCGCACAAGAAAGCCTCACTTCGTCGAAGACGAAAGCGGATAAAAGTTTTACAATCCCTAACCCCAGGGGAGACGGTCTAGAGAGACGCTCTCGCCTAGACAGAAGCTTTTCCAGTTTGGTCAATTGAAAAACTGATGAAATTGGAGACTCCGTTCTATTTCTATTTTTTTTTTTTTTGAGCAGCAAACAATAAATTGGCATTAATTAAATCAAAGTTTAGTACATCAACAATTCTGCTAGGAGGGGAAAATGACTAAACACAGCAATCAGACATAGAACTAACTTCTCGTGCTATCGCATGAGCGGCCCTGTTCGCAGATCGTCTAATATGATGGAAATCAATACCCGTAAAGCTAGAGCTTAACTCTCTAATATCCTCCGCCAAAAGACCAAAAGAAGAGACGTTTGAGCCTAAACGAATTTCCGAAATGGCTAGTAATGAATCAGACTCCACATCCACATAATTCCAATCCTGATCCTTTAACCAACTTAGAGCTTCCCTGATACCCATTAATTCTGCCTCCAAAGGTGAAAAGTTGCCCTCCCAATACCTGGCTGCCCCAGCCAGAAAATCCCCATGATCATTTCTTAAAATCCACCCACCCACACATCCCTCATCATTGAAGCCAGCATCAACGTTTAATTTGCACCGACCCTCAGTCGGTCGTTTCCATGTCAATTTTGAACTCTGCTCTTGAATACATAAAGCCTTTCCTTGATCTTTTTCCTGAAGCCAAGCGTTGACAAAAGATTCTGCTTTTCCCAAGAATTGATGAGCTTCCAGCTTCTTCCCCTTCCAAATTCTCTCATTCCTTTCACACCAAATGCTCCAACAAACCCAAGCTATCTTCTGTAGCTCCTCGTTCCTCTTCACCTGAAATAGCCGCTGCACCCATTCAATAAAAGAGCTAGCCGGCAACCCCACAGAGGGCCAACCTACTGAACTCCAGCATGCTCTAGCCACCGAACACTGAACAAATAAGTGTAACAACGATTCCTCACTGCTCCCACATAACCCACACTTCACCGAGCATTCAACCTTCTGCCTACTTAGATTATCCGTAGTTGGGAGAAAATTGTTACAAGCTTGCCAGAAGAACGATTTGATCTTGGGGGGTAGCTGCCAATTCCACATCCCCGTCCAACCCTTCCATCCGGTTGCCTGACATTCACCTGTAATTCTTCGATAGCAGCTTCTCACTAAAAATCTGCCTCCCGATTCCCACCTCCAAATCAACCTGTCAGGTACCATCCTTCTACTCACTGGGATGCTTTGAATAAGCTTAGAATCTCTGTCATTAAAAAGGTCGTGTAAAATATCAGTATCCCAAACCTGATGCGGTTCATATAGCAACCCATTGACCAAGGAATTTTCAAGACCAATGGCTGGATCAGTAGTCATTTTAGGATTATCTCTGTCTGGTTACCATGAATCCTGCCAGATTTTTATGGACTTACCATCACCAACTCTCCAAATGTGTCCTTCTCTGATGATTTCCTGAGTCTCAAACAGGCTCCTCCACACGAAGGATGGGTTACTACCCAGATGAGCTGAAAGAAAATTACCCTTTGGATAATATCTGGCTTTGAAAACTCTCCCCACCAAAGTCTCTGGTTCCGTAAATAGCCTTCATGCTTGCTTGGACAGCATTGCTAGGTTGAAATGACGAAGTTTCCTAAAACCCATTCCACCTAGTTTCTTAGGTTTGCACAGAGAATCCCAATCACTCCACCTAATCCCTTTTCCGTCATTCCCGTTCCACCAATACCAATTCATTAGGACCTCAATCTCCCGGCACAGATCAATTGGCAACATATCCCTTTTCCGTCATTCCCGTTCCACCAATACCCGATCGTACGCCTTGCTCATATCTAACTTCAAAGCCACATATCCCAGCTTGCCCTGCCGCTTCCTCTTTAGATAGTGTTGAGACTCGAACGCCAACATGATATTATCAACTATCGACCTTCCCGGGATGAAGGCACTCTGTTGCTCCGAAACACAGAACTGCATAAGATTCTTCATTCGGTTTGCCAACACTTTGGAAAAGATTTTGTACACCACATTGCATAGGGAGATGGGCCTCCAGTCACCAAGCACTTCCGGTTGATCCTTCTTGGGAATTAATACAATATGAGCGTGATTTACCGCCTCTGGGAGCTTACCTGTCTCAAACGCTACTATGCAAAAATCAATTACATCCAGACCAATTAGGTCCCAAAAATGTTGAAAAAAACTAGGACTCATCCCGTCTGGGCCTGGAGACTTATCAGGGTACATAGAGAATATAGTTGCCTTGACTTCATCGCTTCTAATAGACCTCAACAGATCATTATGATGGTGAACCCCCAGTCTCCTCTCAATGTTGCTAAGTATGATATCATTATCCCCCTGAACTGACATGAACAGATTAGTGAAGTAATCACCTACCAGTTTTCCAAACTCACCTCGGTCCTGCTCCCAGTCACCCCCTTCCAGCTTCAACCTGACCAGTTTATTCTTCCTCCTTCGTTGTTTAACTGCATTGTGAAAATACTTGGTGTTCAAGTCCCCGCCTCTCAGCCAGAACTCTTTTGCGCGTTGACGCCAGAATAAATTTTCTTTTTCCAATAAAGCAAGATATTCACTCCTCACTCTCCAGAATTCAGCCACTCCCCATGTTTCAACACGGCTTCTCAAGGAATTAAGCTTCTTCTTGAAGTATGCTATCCTTTTGCCATATGTTCCGTATCTGCCTCTTCCCCATTCTTCCACCATTCGCCCACAAGTTGCAATTTGTCTCATAACACCATGTCCTCGTCCTAGTTGCCACCCTCTGCTAACTACCTCACGACAATCATTTTCTCTCAACCAAGTATTCTCAAACTTGAATCTACGACATCTATTAACCCCTGTTGTTGAGACCAAGCGGATGAAAAGAGCCAAATGGTCACTAAGAGATCCCTCCAATGACTCGGCTATAGCTGCCCCGAATCTGTCAAGCCAACTATCAGACGTCAAGATTCTATCGAGCTTCTCCTCCACCCAATTCGGGGAACCCCTCCATCTCTCTCAGGTGAATTGGTAGCCTTCGAAGGAGAAGTTATGGAGCCCACTAGCCCAAATCGCCTCCCGAAATCCTCTTAACAACCATGCCGGGTGAGGGACTCTTCCACGTTTTTCGGAAGCATAAAGTAGGTCGTTGAAATCCCCCATTACTAACCAGGGAAGTTGAGATCGCGCACTAAGTGAACAAAGAAGACTCCAAGACTCACGTCTCCTTTATCGCTCCGGAAAACCATAAAAACCTGTAAAACGCCACAAGGAATCACCCATTTCCAATCTAATCCAAGCATCAATAAAATTTTGTGAAGCATCCTGAATCTGGACCTCCACTCCAGCCTCCCATAGGAGCGCCAGACCTCCTCTATGGCCAACACTATCCACAACAAAACAATCTTGCATGCCCACCTTCCTTTTGATCTCGTCAATCTTGTTGCTATTCACGAAAGTTTCCATTAAAAAAACCAAACTCGGCCTCTTAGAGTGGACCAAATCCACCAAAACTTGAACTGCCAAAGGGTTGCCAAGCCCTCGGAAGTTCCAACTTAAACAACTCATGGTTCCAGGCGGGCCTGAAAACCAGGACCCGCCTCCAATCCGTTTTTTGACCGAGAAACTTCAGAACCTTCAAGCAAAGTAACACATCCCTCCCCCACATCACCGCAAGCCTTCCTTTTTTTCAGTGAACTTTCCCCTCCCATTACCCTCCCTTTCTGCTAGATAGCAATGCTTAGATCATCTTCCCTTCCTGGGGCTGAACTCACCTCTCCCCTTCCTGTAACTCCTTGATTTAGGGCTTTTTCATATGACCCCGTAGAGTCTCCCCCCTTTTCACTAACACCAGCCCCCTCCTTTGATTGACCCCAGAAATGTCCCTCGCTATCAACCAGCCACTTGCTTCCTCTATTGGCTCCGCTTCTTCTTCCGCCAGCCTTTAACCAGACTCCAAAGGGTTTTAGTTGATCAGCTGTGAACCCCTCAAACCACTTTGGACAGAGTCGGTCCACATGGCCCATCTTTCCACAAATAAAACAGAAATGCGGTAATCTCTCATACTTGAGATATGCCCAAACATCTTCAGCCCCCTTTTTGAGTTTCAATCTCCCTTTTAGAGAGTCACCCACGTCTAAACTCACCCTGATTCTCATAAACTCCTTCCTCCCACCTTTGAAATTATTTTCATCTGCCTGCACAAATCTTCCAACTGCATTGCCAATGATCTGGGCCATCCTCTCAGTAAAAAAAGTCATCGGTAGATTGTATGCTTGTAGCCAAAAATTTTCATGTGACAAGGGTACTGACAGAGGATTCTCCAGAGGTTCTAATTTTCGTAAAATCACTAAATTATTCTCAAAAGACCATGGCCCATCCTCTAAGACCCTTCTGAAATCAACTTCATGGAAAAATTGAAATATGTAGCGCCGGTCACCCACCTCCCGAATGTTAACCCCCCTTCCCGGTCTCCAAATGTCCGCAATAGTATCCCTGAAATAAGGAAACCGAACCTGTTTTTCAGTAAGAATACGTCCCACTAAAGCCAGCGAAGAAACATATGGCGGCTCTTCCAATACTGCTTCCCCCACGTCAACTCCTGTATCCTCGTCCTCCAAAGATAAACGTGCGTACAGATCTTCCATGGATTCTGACATGGCTCTGGGACCTTGGTATTAAGCGTAACAAAGTTTAGTGAATAAAAGATGATGTGCGTACTGACAAACCCTAGAACCCTAGGGAAGAAAACAAAATCCACCATATTTCTATTTAAATAACCAAATTAGCGTAATTTTTATTTATGAATTCGTCAACCTGCATATGTCCAGATTAGGTTTTCTAAATATGAAAGGTTCAACTTTTATTGTTTTTAGCTTTTAATCACACATGTTACGTCATCTTTCGTTGTGCTTGACTTTGTCAATTGATTCTTTAAATTTTTGCTTTCAATTTTAAATTTTGAAAAGAGTGTTAGCGTTGATTTACGTCAGATTTTACTCTAAAAATTACATCTTAAATTATTGAAGAGGCTGCGGGTGTTAAATTACTCATCAAGTCATTGTGCTATCATTAAATTAGTTTATTACATGCGTATGTAGTATATAACGCATTTTAAACTTGCAAAACGTTAAAAACACCTTTGTATTTGTATTCATCTTACGAACATAAAAATGTACTTCAATTCTTGTTGTAAAATTTAAGAAATGACAAATTGTTCATCCTTATCACTAGGACATCAAGCTTTTTCTGATCCTTGTAATGATCCTTGTAACTTAGTTAGAACAGGTGATTCAATTTGCTATTGCCACCAAATCTGTAGACTCATCAATTAAGTGATTCATCATCAAGCTCAACCAGTATAAATAGCTAGTGGCTTGATGAAGTCTTGTAAATTCATTCAGAAAACCTTTATATTAAGAAGAAGTAACTTAGAGCTTATTAATAATATATCTATCTCTTAAATCTAGTCTTCATCTTCTTCATTTCATAGCACGTTATCTACACGAATCTGCTCAAATCTCTCCAAGAAATCATCTTAAATCTATATCTTCTTTAATTTTCTCTCATTCACTAAAATATAATAAGTGCGTAAGTATACTACTCCGTAAATGATTTAATTTCCCAAATAAAACTTACGTACTATTTTTTCCATAATAGAAGAAATAAAAGTTTACCTCTGGCCTGTTAAGTCTTCTGATCTCTTCAATTCTGAACTCTGATAATTAGGCTCTTCAATTCGTAGAACAAAAGCAGAAACAAATTATGATTTCAGCAAGAATATAATAGTGCTACGCAATAGGGAGTACAACCTCCGTCCCAATTTGATTTGCAAATTTTACTTTTCTTGGTCAAACAGTTTCATTTTATTTGCTTAATTAGAATGTCAATTTTTAATTATATTCTACTTAATTTTTTTTAATTATTTTAATGTATTTTCTGAATATATAAATTTTAATTATAAAAAATTGAATTAATTATCGATAGTGAAAATTGACTTTTATTATTAGTTGACCAAAAATGTTGACTTTGCAAAACAATTTGAAAGAGAGTATAAAATAAAGAAGAAAGATGATTGATAGGAGAACACTTTAGATTGCCCGCAGACATATAAAATAGTCAAAAATGATCTTTGTACCCACTCTTATACCCACTTTTGTACACACCTATGTTTGTGAAGTGTTTTTTTCTGTGAACCCCAGCTCACAGACAATATTTTGCACAGACAAAATATTATCTGTGAAACCGGGTTCACAGACAAAAAAACCTCCACAAACATGGTGGGTATAAGGTGGATCAATAGTTCTTGGTGTACACCCTGGGTTACACCCTGGGGTACACCCATTTATTTGCCCTTCTCACATACAAAAAACACACAAATACAGACACTTTCATTGAAAGTGTCGGTGTGAGTAAAATTAGTTTCTAGATCTGTCAGACTGACTGCATGGAAACCAATGTCGGTGTACACAGACATTAGTTGTCTGTGTAAATAAAAAAGTGTCGGTGTGAAAAATTAATTGGAAAACAAGCGTCGGTGTACACAGACGTTAGTCATCTGTGTAGACAAAAAAGTGTCGGTGTGAAAAAATTAGTTAGAAAACAAGTGTCGGTGTACACAGACGTTAGTTGTTTTGTATAAAAAAATTGTTTGTATATATACAATTTTCGTCTGTGTACACAGACACTAGCAAACCAGTGTCGGTGTGGATAAAACGTAAAAAGTGAGAAGGAAAGAAAAAGAAGAAGATGGTCATGAAGATAAGAGGATGATTAGGGTGAATAAAACCTAAAAAAGAGAAGGAAAGAAGAAGAATAAGAAGAAGATGAAGGAGAAAGGAAGAAAGAAAGAAGAACAAGATGTTGAAGAAGAAGAAAAGGAAAGAAGAAAGAGAGGAGGGAGGGGGGTCCGTATGATTCAAATGGGAGAGGAGTGGAGAGAAGAGAATGGAGAGAGAAAAGTTGAAAGGGGAGAAAAAAGAAAGGGGGGTTATATAGGTGTACACCAAGGTGTAACCCAAGATGTACCAAAAGAATTTTTCAAGGTGGATATAAAAGTGGATACATCAAACATTGTTGTAAAATAGTAGACATGTGTCGGTGTCACTCATGCACCTCTCCCTTTTGTCTCTTTGTTTGGAAACGGTCATAATACATTGAAATACTACAAAAAAATAAAATAAAAACAAAGTAGATAAACATTTGCTCAGACCTTAAACAGTACGCATGGACTTAAGTGTGCATCTCTATTAAATTATACGTAGTACGTAACTATAAAACACTCTGTATATATGTATGTGAATAAACTAACTTTACTAATTGTGTATATTTAAATTTTATAATATTGAACCAAATGAATACATAAAATCAATTAAAGGGTAATAGTGAGCACATGATTGTTTAATTTACATACATAGTACGGTACATATAATTACAATTTACAAATACCTTCTTGCAAAAAAATGATTACAAATACCTTAGTGCTTTACATATTTATATATATTTAAATAATAGAATAAAAGTTATTATCAAATTTCTAAGTTAACGCACGATTCATTTAGTTGGTTTGAATTTATACATTTAACAAATAATGTTCGTATACACGGCGACGGACTCATGATTTTTTATGTGCAGGGGCAAAAAATATTTTGAAGCAAAATTTTATTACCACAAAATTAAGCTTAACTTTATATAAACATAAAAATAATCACCAAATTTGAACAAAATCATACACCAATGTAGTACTAGAAATAATACTAGATACTTCGTATAAAGTCAACATTGTGTATTTGTGTACCTTGACAATGTAAGTACACTTCAAAAACACAAAATATAAGCATGTAAATTGTAGCTTGTTCAACAACTTTGGGAGGAGAGGAGGAGCCGCTGCTCGATCTTTGCGGAAGTCACAAGGTTAATTTGTTAAATGTAAAAACCAATTTTATACGGAGTATTTTAATTTAGTGGAGTTAGGGACCCATCTATTAGTCAACACAAGTCTATACGGATAGATTATAAATATGGGCTAAGAGTATGGGCTAAAATACGGATAGTGTGCACATTCCTTATTTTAATAATTGATTGGAGTACTGCTATGATCCAAATAACATCCAAATTAAAGTTATGTGGACAAAAAGTCACTGATGCTCATATGTTGGAGAAAACTTTTTGGGAAAACTGTCAAATAAGTCCTCCTACTATACTTAAAAAGTCAATTGAGTCCCCCTACTATAAAATCATCCAATTACATCCTCTAACTATAAAAAAAGTTCAATTTTACTTTCTAGCCGGTTGATGATAATTAATCCCGGTAGCTGCTGATCTGGACATCTACATGACACTAACTTTATTTTTCTTTTTGTTTTTTCATTTTTTTCTTTTCATTTTTCCGTTCCCTTCTCCCTGTTAGCCTGGTTGTGCGGTTGTACCACCTCCTTACTCCCTAGCTCCATGTTTCCCGGCAAGTTCGCCGTCCTTGTCAACAATCACCACCCACCCCTTTCTTTGCTTCCCCTTTTCTTTGCTTCCCCTTCTCCCTTAGTGGAGACATGGACTGTGAGGTTGGGCTTTGAACCCTTTGAAGAGAATGATAAAAGAAGCTTGAGCGATGTAAATATGATGGTGTTTCCTGGAAGTGTGTGGTTAAAGAAGCCACTCTACCTAACAGGCTCCCAAGACGCGCAAGCGTAAAGGTGAGACATTTTCTATCTTTGCAGGACATTTTCTTTAACACAATTCTCTGCTGGGAAAGCATTGTTGTATGTTAAAACATTTGCCCCACTAAGTTAAGTGATGTCAGTCTAATCACAGATTCCATGAGTTTATTAACCGGACAATAAAATGCTTGAAACAGATGCTGAAATTGAACTAAAGGATGTGATTGAGAGAGCTTACAAATTAAACCAGAAGCTGGGGAGAATCTTATGTTGGTGAAAGACGAAAGTTATGGCTGCCCCATCCATGTTGAATGACCAAATCACTCAATCGACTTGTCACTGACCGGCCGGCCAGTTGTAGGAATCAAAGTCTTCGCTTCAAACTGAGGGCCTATCGGGCTTTTCCGCCATACAAGGCGGATCGGAGGATCTAAGAGGGAATTGAAGCGTCCCGCGCCCGGCGGCCGCTTCTGGTCCGGCTAACTACCTTAGCTAGTAGTGTACTATTAGCAGTACTTATGGGATAAACTAGCTAGCATGGTATGTAATCACTAATGGAGGTGATTATATTTTTCCCATTTTTGGAAGAGAATGTGTTTTTATATCTCAAAGATTACAATAACAAAGATGACTATTATATAATTTATATCTCAAGTTTACGAGTCTAACAGATTAACTAAGAAGGCTGAAAGAATCACAACACTACAAAATTTTGTGAAACTTAAAAACTTGGTAAATTATATGAACAGTTTTTTCCTTCGTTATAGGTCCAAAATAATTGAAACAATCTAAGGAAACACTTATAAGATTTTTTGAAGAAATTACCTAATAATACAAAATATGAAAAATACACTACAAAAAAACACGCGCGTAGTCACGGAGGTAGTCACGGACGCCAGTTCAAAAATTCCGTGACTAAATGAGTTAGTCACGGTCGCTGGCCGTGACTAATACCGTGACTTAATGGGCGTGACTAAAATGAAGTCACCGCCGCATAACCGTGACTAAATGTAGTCACGGGTTAGTCACGGTCAAGGACCATGACTATTGTCATGCCAGAAACCCCACTCCGACATGTTAGTCACGGCTTCTGACCGTGACTATAAATTTTTTTTTAAAAATAAATATTAGTCACGGCTGGGGACCGTGACTAATGTTTCAAATTTTCAAAATTTTCAAAAGACCGCCCGCCGTTGTAATATAAATTTTTGAAATTAGTCACGGCTGTCGACCGTGACTAATTTTTTTTTAAAAAAAATGTTTTTAATTAAAAACAAATAATAATTTCGGATTAACTGTAGTCACGGATAAGGCCGTGACTACTATTTTTGTTTTTTAAAAAAAAAATTCCAGTTTTCGTTTTTTAAAAATTACTTTTTTTATACGTATTTTTACAAATTAAATTTAAAAATGTTTTTTGAAAATTGATTTATTGAAAATATTATTCTAATTTTATAAAGAAAAATTACATTTTAAAGAGTAAAGACATACAACAAACTTAATAAATATTGTGACAAACTTTTAAATGTTTTGACATACAACAAAGTATAAATGTATGATGATTACATGTCCCTTCGTGGGACTCCATTATGAAAAAATTAGGATTTTCTTCTTCTTCATCATCATCATCAACAAGAAACTCATCTGGGTTCACGGGGGGGTCTTCGGGGTCAGGTCGGGTTCCTCCTCGGGGTGCTCCTCGGGGTCCTCCTCGGGGTGCTCCTCGGGGTCCATGGCTTGGTGTGCCACTACCTCCTCCGGATGACCTCGCAAAATCAAAGGACATAGATCCAAAATTCGGAGAGATCATAGGCATGCCACCGTATCCGGAGTTGGGGAAAAATCCCATACCGCCCATGTGCGGAACTTGAGGAGTTTGCTCAGGGTGGAATACATACGGGGGAGAAAAAGGCTGTTGCGGAGGCTGGAATTAATCCGGCACGCATGAACCGTTCCATCTCCTCCAGCCGGGCTTTTGTGGCCTCATCTGCTTTCCGCTGCTCCTCCCATCGCCGTTCGTGCTCCTCCAGTTCACGCTGCAATGTAGCAATACGAGGATCTTCTCCCCGCCTTGACCGAGAAGAGGTAGCGCCGGTGCTTCGATCATACAAAATCCGTTGCCCCTCGGCCCCCAAGCATGGAACCCGGCCCTTGTAAACCCCGGCCGCCTCAATGGCCGCCTCATCATCCGCATCGGAATCGAGGTCGTCCTCTTGGTTCAGGCCTCGCGCCGCACGCTGCCTGTCAACGGATTCATTGTACTTCGTCTGCATTTTCAAAAAATATTTTTTAAATGCTACATACTTAGATTTGAAATGTTACTAAATAACAAAATATGATGTTTCATACTTCGAAGTCAGCGAGGCGGGGTGGCAGATCGGCTTCAGATTCCTCGCCGTGCTTCGTCCAGCAATGCTTGACGAGCCGAAGAACACCAACCCTCTTCTTCTCAGGACCAGCCTAAATGGTGTGAAAAAGACTTAAGTAAATTTTTTATAATGAAGGATTGTGATGGTGTAAGGTTTTTTGAATAGCACTTACAAGAGTTTCTTTATGGGCATTCTGAGATTTGCGACCCCCGTGCCACTGCATCTCCAAGGCCTTCTCGGACATCCGGTTTTTCTTACCGGATTCACTTCTGGCCAAGAATTTCGGATCAGAAGATCAGTGGCGACAAAGGTTGGACCACACTTCATCCGAAACTCATTTAGGCTTTTTCGCACTTTTTCGGGCACGCTTAAAAGTGGCGCGAAGCCAGGTCGAAATCCTAGCATTATAGGCTCTAAGAATATCGGCACCGTTTGCGTGAGTCCAACGATAGCGAGCCTTTATTAAAACAAATTGGATTAATTAATGACTAGGTATATATTAGGCCAATACAATTAGGGAGGGAACATTCATTTATTTTTACCTTGAACAGGTTCCACCATAGTTCGCGGACCTTGGGGTCAACATCCGAGTACGTGGCCCAAGTGCCAAGAAAGTGTCCTCCGATTATGTTTTTGATGCCTTTGAACACTTCATCGTCACTTAAAAAAATTAATAGTATTTATTTATATAGATTTGGTTAGATTATTTAACATTATATAAAATTATTGAAAATAAGGTTTCTTCATAACTACTTACAAAACAACTTCTGCAGGGGTCACCCAAACAGCTCCTTCGTTGTTGCGCTCCGCTTCGGACATGGGCGCATAGTTAGGGCGGGGAGCCGAGGTCGATTGTTCGTTGCTCATCTAAAATATATTAATTTATTTTGTTTTTTGTTAGAACGCTTGTAATAGAAGATCAAATTTTTATGTAAGTATTATCAATTGTCAATGTATATAACATATTAAACTGGGTATAGGTTTAATATCAGGGTCCAATAATTGCTAATAAACAAATACTATAATTATCAAGGAGTTGACACAGTCGACCGAAAAATCAACCGGTTGGA